CTGTCTACCGCGTCCTGGGCTCGCCTAACACTTTCTATGTCCAGAGCCCTTTCCGTGTTATCTAAATCTGACGCAAGGTTATTTCCGCCCGCCTGGAACATTTCGCTTTGATTTAAAGAAGTAGGTTCGCTATTACCGTCTTCCTCCCTTAATAAGTTTCCAGCGATACTCCGGTCTATCTCTATCTCGAACTCTCTTTCAATAGTTACGTTCGATTGTGATTCCGTGTCTCCTTCGAATCTCAACCGGCGCCTGTACGTATGTGCCTCTAGTTTCGCCGGAGCAGTTCGCGGTTCCGGTGTCGGTATTAAATTCTTATTTGTTCGATATTCACGAGCGGAGTTCCAGTCACGTTTTTCCGGGCAACCTTTTTGCCAGTTTTCGGACATTTACAAAACGTGATTACAAATTTTTGACTTACGCTAGCGCTCTCATTTCCTTGCCTGCTGAGTGTTGTCTTGCGTAATGCAGCTGTCTATGTAGGTCGTCGGCTTCTATGTCGCCGCCGCTGCTGCTGACGCTGCTATTGCCGCTGTCTGCTGCCGCTGTACGCTGCCGCTGCACGCTGCCGCCCTGGTTACTGCCTTCGATGTCGCTCACTTTGCCAAATTTTCCTCTTCTTCTACCGGTCCTTTTATGCGTCCAGGATAGTGGTTCCTTCGTTGACACTTCCTTGGAGTACTTGCGGTGAAATTTACTTCCTTTTCTTGTCTCTTGTCCGCTGCTTCTACTCCGCTTATAACACGGCTCACTTTACTATTGCGGTAGATCAGTTCCTTGCGTAACTTGAGATCGTGAGCGTTGTACAGTGATTCTCTAATCACTTTTCGCACCACTTGCTAGTATTACTAACTCTGTTATTTTTTTTTTTTGTTTCAGGTGCTGAGAACCCGTTTCCACGTATCGTTAGCCGGGATTTTCTTTTATTATTTCTTTTTAATTTATTCTCTTTTTAGAATAAATTTCTTTTATACTTTACTTGACAGTTTTTTTTTCTCACCAGTAATCCTTGATGTCCTTGTCGTTTCCTCCACAATCCAACCGGAATCTTCTTCGTACTAAATACTGATAAGATCCCGTCTCGGTAGTTGGTTTATTTATCCCACCGCTGCCACCAAAATTTGTTGAGATTCGGGAAGATAAAGGACTTGGTGATGAATAAGATTCTTTTATAAAAAACTGGCGTAGTTTATTACTACCAAGTTTACAAATTA